ATGAGATTCAGATTAAGAGTTCAAAAATTAGTGTAGTCCACAAATACTTAATAAGGGCAATAAGCAAGGGCCCAAATCAAGCTAAATATTGTAATTTTTAGGTCTGATATCGGGAATTAAAAAAAACGCTTTATGGGGCCGATGGTTAAACGATCTGGGCCCCAAATTGTAACAGTTGTAACTTGTCCAATAGTTTCGCCAGAAACATCAACATGTAGAGGAATTTTAAAACCGTCCAAGAGGTCAAGGAAAATGCATCGCTTTGTCCACAACGTGGCTAATTTGGCATGTTAGAGACTAACTAAATTTTTGACTAATTTCGCACATTGACATTTTCTGAAATAACTAGAAACTTTAGTTTAGGAACTTTTGCTAAGTGTTATTTTATATTAAAAAGGGCGCCACTGCTTTACTTAGAAGTAGCAATTAGAGCTAAATATTGTAATTTTTAGGTCTGATATCGGGAATTAAAAAAAAACGCTTTATGGGGCCGATGGTTAAACGATCTGGGCCCCAAATTGTAACAGTTTCCAATAGTTTTGCCAGAAAAATCAACATGTAGAGGAATTTTAAAACCGTCCAAGAGGTCAAAGCACATCAGGATTCTTTCCTTCGTAACTATCTTGTTTTAGGTACAATTCAATAGTGATTCAACGAAGGTTTAGTTTGGCTTTTTATAAGAGAATCTAATGACAAAAATTGTGGACGCTTAAATTGGATATTGCTTGAAAATGCATCGCTTTGTTCACAACGTGGCTAATTTGGCATGTTAGAGACTAACTAAATTTTTGACTAATTTCGCACATTGACATTTTCTGAAATAACTAGAAACTTTAGTTTAGGAACTTTTGCTAAGTGTTATTTTATATTAAAAAGGGCGCCACTGCTTTACTTAGAAGTAGCAATTAGAGGTTTTTCCTCTACCAGTTCACTAGACATAAACATCTAACCGGGGTTTTGAAAAAGAGAACCTTTGCATTATGGCATTTCCTGAGAGAATTAGTAACTTTTGCAAAATGATGTTTTACATTAAAAAAGGCCGTTCAGCGCTCTATCGAGGCGCCAACGCTAGAGATCCGTTCTCTAATAGTTCATTAAATATGAATAAAAGCTACACGCGCTTTTGCCTTTTTTTCAACCCTTGTCAAACTTAGAGTATGTTTCTCAACTGTGACAAAATAATTTAATTCTCTTCGGGAAAACAATTCACTCTATAAAACAATTCGTCAACGAATTCATCTGAGTGCAAAGAGCGCACGTAGAGATGGTGGGTGCCATCTGGATGGGATGGATGATTTAATTACAAGACGAAGAACATTGATGGCTGTTTGTTCAATTGTTTGGAAACAGTTTTAAGTGCGAAACTTCAAGTGGCCGAAACTGCTCCCCAACACTGATTAATTAAAGGGAAATTCAATAGAAGAATGCGGCTCTATGCCGGAATTTATGACGGAAACCGACGCCTTTCTCCCATGTCCCCGAACTGTAAATAACAAACAAGTAGTTAAGTGACAGTGTTTGGCATCCCGCTTTCCAGGGTAATTGAAATATATTGTTGAGGCGTTGATTGTATAGCGTGCATCCCTTCGATCATAGACTGATTTATCTTGGCTGCTACAGCTTCCAATTCGGGCCCATTCGCCTGAGGATGATGCATGGCGATGTAAACGTTGCCTCGTTTCCCAATCCCAAATAGTCCCGGTTAGAAAATTCACTTTTTCCAGGTGAAAATGCCATTCAAGCGACACAAGCAGCAACGGAACAGATCGGTGCAATATTGCAAATCACAGCACCAAAAGCACCACAATGGGGGAGGCCGATGTTTATGGGGGAATTTATTGGGAGTTTGATGCAATATTATGACGTGGTTGACTGGGAACGATTCCATAAACTGGATTTTAGTGCGACTTTTCTGGATTATGATGCGGAATGATGCGCTTTATTGAGAAGGGTGCAAGACATCGAAAGGGACCGGTTTAGTCTGCCTGTGATTCAAATTATACAGAGTTGTCTTGGAAGTTTTTAAACTAAAACCGTGGGTTAAATTTCCAAACACTCACAAAAGTGTGAGTGTTTATCTTTCGATCACTGGTTTCACATGGCGGATTTTCCGTAAAACTCCGAAGCTTCAGCCGAATTTGCAGCAGAAAGTGTTCTTTGAAACCGTACACAAGATCTTCGAGCCTTTTTCACATTTTTCTGGTCTTCAGGATTGAAAAACTGCCTTTGAAGCAGGCAAAGTTTAGAACCAGAAGCATTCCCAGACCAATAAAATTTTCAGTGGCAAAACGCCCATTCATCCTGAGGGATTTTTGAGCTGGAGCAACTGCTTAAATGTTAATGAATCCCGAAAATGTATCAAAACTGCAACCCATAGCCGAAATTAAGGAATGAATAAGTCAGTAGATGGAAGGGCTGGACCTGGCATTAGGGATCGGTAATAAAACCTTTTTTCCAGACATTTGATTCGACACCTGGTAGCCTGGGCTAAAGTGTCTTTATCAACTATTTAACAGTTTAACGCAAACTAGAAACAGTACAGAATGGAAAACAAATGGGAAATTCAGTGACAAAAAGGAATCCACGAAAAACGCGGCTGCGATGAAAAATTCTGAGTGATTTTATCCTGTCCCCAAAACCGACTGGAATTGGCAGTCGCATTTGTCAAACCGATGGTGCATCAATGAAATATCGGGGGTTTTTCCCCGGTTTTCCCGGCCCAGAATCATTGTTCTTTTCAGGTCGCGTTATGTTAATGAGCCGTCATAAATCCGGCATTGTGGCCGTGCTGCCATCGAATCGTTTAGCTGACATGAACGATGATCTAATCTTTGCTCTCGGTGAAACCGACGCTTTGTTCAACGTGTTTTTCATTGCAATTTTGAGACGCAAAATGCCATTTTCCCTAACATGTTGGAAGGAAATAATTAATCGCTTTGCTCAATTTGCTTGCCGCTGTTTTGCTTGCAGGAAACCGACAAGTTTGCACTATGTTCTCTCTAAAT